CACTAAAAGGTCTCTGTGGGCCAAGTATGTCTGTCCCTAGGTCCTCATTCTGCTTCTAGGAGACTTGGCCCTGTCCTCCCCAGCTTTCCAGGACAACAGTCCTCTTCTGTTTCCACTTTCATGGTATCCATGCTGAGTAGAGGATAGTCACAGCCCTGGGTTACATTGTTGATGTCACATCACCAAAGTCATATCATGGGCTTTGTACCATGGTTTGCACCATGAACGTCATGTTATGGAAAAACACACCATGAGCCTCATGCCAAAAACATCACAAGAAGTTCCACATGGAAACCTGAGTGGGGATCACTGTGTGCTCAAGGACAGTGTGGGAACTCCAGCCTGACTCCTTAGTGGGTCCCAGAGATTCAAGGACATAGGACACTCTAAGTATAAAGGCACCTTATCTGCGTTTATGGAGCTGATGGGGGCATGAGTGGTCAGGAGGAGACCAAGATGTAAATGGACATGGGGAGATACAGTGGGGCCTGTGAGTTCCACAGAGAAGCAGGAAGTGGGAGGAAGCTGCCCTGGACCATGTGTCCAATGTTGAGGTTATGAGGTCCTAAACTCTTGTTTAGGACTGAATTGTAGGCCCTCCAGGTGCTTAGTCAGCAAGAGGTTGAACCTTGGACAGTGAGATGGAGAGGCACAGGCAACAAGTGGGTTTGAGGAATTGGCTGTAGGGAGTCTGCCCATTGGACAGACTGGCTTCTTATGAGAGGGTTAATGTGAATGTGGGAAGGTCATAGACTGTCCCTCAACACTTCCTGGGCACCCAGACAGAACCGTCTGCTCCAGAATGATCCTCAGTCATCTTCTGTCTACATTTGCTGAAAAGGACTCAGTCAGGAATCCATCCTTAGTCCCTCCAAGTTGTCCCTGTCTTCATCCCAGGGCCTTGGCTGTGCCTCCTTATCCCCGACATATAAGGAGGACAGCTCCTCTCTTCCCTGCACCTGTGTCCCTTGTCTCTAGGGATGACAAACTCCCAACTTCCACACCAACCATCCTACTCACAACTGGCCTTGTCTACAGACATGGAGCAGCTGCAATGATTGTTCACTGATCGAACTATGTGAGACCTGGCTGCCCACCTCATTCCTTTGTTTCCCCTGTAAAAGTCTTCATCCAAACTCTACCCTCTTCCCGTCCCTAAAAGCTATCTGCCCTTGCATTTTTGCATCTGTTCCCCTCTCCTGCAAATATCACTCCATCTCTCTGCCTCTCTTGCCTGGACTCATATGCTATGAGGCCAGATCTTCCTTGATTCAGGTGATATTGTTGTGAAATTTGGAACTCAGAGGTGGGATGGATTGTGGGAGACCCTTGGGATATGGGTGGGTAAATTTGAACTCTTGAATTAAGCCTTAGGGGCTGAAATTTTTTCCCTCTGTTAGTATGTGGAAGCCCCAGCCTCAGACCTCAGAATGTGCTGCATTTGGAGACAAGGTCTTTAATAGGGCAGAGTGGACTTTGTCTATGTCCGCATAACAGAGATTAGGACACAGAACACAGAAGGGCCACAGCATCTGCAAATTGTGGAGAAGCCTTAGGATAAACTACCTGTGCACTAAACTACAGATATGTACAGAGTATTTAAAGGTTGTTTTATTGCCCTAAAGAGAGAACCTACAGGTTATCATAGGATCCAGAACACTACAAGCAGATCAAAGCTACAAAGCTGATTGAGTTGTCCCTTGGGTTTTCCTGCAGCACAGGGCTGCTGTTCTTTCCTGCTTGTGCCTTTCTTCCTGACTGGAGGGTGTGGCTTGTCATTTTCCCCATGCTGAATGGGACCATGGCACACACATCATCTGTCCAGTGTCAGCCCAGCCCTGACTCCTAGGTCACTGGGCTCTCTCTGTGGTTATCTCATCCAATGGGGAGTTCCTGCTCCCAGAGTGACACTGATACTGCAGGACTGGCCTGCCTGAGCCCTGGTGCTTTCATTATGCATCAAGCTGTGCCTTGATTGGGACAGGTGTTCCTTGGCCTGCTCTGTCCCTGAGACCCAGATGCTGGGGTTCTGGAGCCACCAAATAGCCCAGATCCTCCATTGAGTGTCTCCAAGGAATAGGGCTGGGCTTCCAGTGGGAGGTGGCAGTATCCTGGGCTCAGCTCTTTATCACCAGTGCAGAGAGGCATGGAGTGTCCAGTCCCTGTGGGTTGGATCCAGCACTGTGCAGTGTGGGTCACAAGAAGGGGCAGTATACAAGGTCCCCATTGGAGGACACACGAAGGAAATGTGTGCCATTGTTCAAGTCCCAGCCCACAGAGGTGCCCAGCATAGGTCCCCTGGCACAGGCTAGTACTGTCCACCAGGGAGACTGTTAGTGGCTCTTTCTAAGTCTCCACTGGGGGCTGATGATCATGTTGGCTGAACTAAGTGCAGTAGTCTCTCTTGAGGATCTCAGCCTTGTCTCTCTCAGTTATGCCCTGTGCTGGAGAAGCTGGTGTTGACAGAGCTGTCTCCCAGGCTTGTCTCCACCCCAGATGGATTTGGTCAATACTGTCCTTTTCCTGCTGTTGGGTGAGCACCTTGCTTGTGAGGCAGGGATGTCCTGTTGAGGGAACATGAATCTTTTGTCTGTTTCATCCAAGGTCATGGTGACTGCTCCAGGCTTGGCGCTTGTCCAGGCTGCTGAGGCTTGGCGCACCTGCTATCCATGAGTCCTCCAGAGCAGGGAGGTTGGGAACACTGGGTCACTGAACCACAGGATTGGAGGCTGCGAGGTCAGAGGAGCATGTGACCTGGGGCTCAGCTGCCAGAAGTGATGGATTGGGTCCTGTAAGGGACTGCAAAGCCTGGACCCTTATCGGGTGGGCCTTAAGCTCCCTGTCCAATCATGTTTCTATAGTCAGGAACAATGGTCTGCTTCAATTCCATCACTGAGGAGAAGATCCACTGCACCTGCAGGAACAGAGAGTGAGCAGTCATGTACCATTGGATTCCGCCACAGTCACTAGGACCAGGAGACAGCACAGGGCAGAGTTAGGGCAGTGGGGCCAGGATGAAAATAGAGCAGTCTAGGGTAGAGACAGTGTACCAACAGGTTTGAGGGTAAGTTTTGGAAAGATTTTGGGATAGCAGGAACAGCATGGAAATAAAATGCAAATAGCAGGAGAAAATAGCATGGGGATTCATGGGGACAGTACACAAAAAATAGCAGGACTTTTTATGAAGAAAGTGTGAGGAGATAATGGGGACAGGAATGAAGAAGAAACTTGTGACATTCTGGAACATTGTAAAGATACCATGAAAAGACAACATGTGGCATCATGGGATAATATTGAGGCAGGATATGAAAGACAGTATGAAATGTCATGAGGTTAGTGTGGGTCCATCATAAGGAAAACTGAATGGGACATCATCGAGACTTCTTGGGGCCAACATAGAAAAAAATACCTCTGGATATTGTGGGGACATCAAGGCGACAGCGAGGAGACAGCATAGATCGGTGGGGACAGTTATGGGACAGTGTGGGGGCCACATGAGAACAATGTGGGTCATCATAGAGACAACAGTAGTCAACACAGGCTGTTGTGGAGATAGCTTGGACCAGTGTGGGTGTCAGGGGCAGTGTGCCAACCTTGAAGAGGGTGACTGCAGCACTGTAGCACACGCTGAGCAGGAAGAGGGTGATGAAGATGGTGATGGTTGTCCACAGCCCATCCAGCTCCCCATCCTGGGCCTCGGCACAGTTCTCATCTAGGTCCAGCCCTGGACAGGAGGGAGTGATCAGTGTGCATCCCCCAGATCGGCCCAGGCATCTCCCTGTGCAGTAATGTGGGGTTGCTGGGAGCCTGTGGTAGGAGTGCCAACTGTGCCCACCTCGGCCAGATCTCCTCAGCCACCCTCCCAGGAGAGCAGCCTTGGGTTCTCAGATTGTTTTCCCTGGACCCAGGCTTATCAAGACATTGTAGGTGGAATGGAAAGTATCTTGCACTATGTGGACTCCTCTAGCCTTCATCATTAGAGTGGATGGGCAGTGTCAGTGTCTGGAACACTACAGGCTGTGGCTCTACAGTCTGCCTGTTCTCTGGCAAATAACATAGGTGTTGGACATATAGTAGGACAAAACTGGTGGGGATAGGCGTGTCCTCCTATGGATTGGAAGGGGGCCTGAGTATCCAGCATCAGTTGGGTATTGGGTTCTTGTGTGTTGGAGAGGCTGCAAGGGATCTGGTCAGTGTGTGCGTGGTCATCTGTGAATGCAGGGCTGGGGTGGGTGCTGCACATGGACCCAGGGTGTTAGGTGTATGCACGTGTACATGCAAGTCCACAGATATGTGTTGTCAGTGTGGAATGGCACTGCTTAGCAACCTTATTCTAATGGGTCTGGGGCCTGTGAACTTGCACAAGGCCCAGTGGTCTCCCACGTGTTTGGATTATCCTGAGGTGGTCAAGGCAGCACCTCAGCCTCCCTGGAGAACATGAGTGGGTTTCCAGGGATGTTCAGTGGCCCAGTGGGTGGGCAGTATCCCCAGGGGAGGCTAACTTCTCCATGTGTGGGCAGCATCCAGTGTCCCTAAGGGTGGCCAGCCTTGTGCAGGTGAAGGGATTTTGGAGGTTGTGTCCCATAGGCATGCTCTGCAGTTTCTGCAGTGGACAGAGACCCTAGGACAAGAACTTCAAGGACAGGATGTTTCAGAGGCAAGACTTTGTGTTCTTTAAAGGTCAATAGGGAACTGCTGGCAATTTGAGATGGGCCCTGATAGGACATCTAGATCGCATCTGTCCCTGTGAGGGCAGACACACATGCTGTGGCCTTCTCATATGCATGAATGCCTGTCCCTAATGACTACAGTGCAGGATTGGCCTTGTATGACCCAGAGCTCATGGCTTCATGGCACAGGTTCTCTGCCTTAGAAAGAACCAGGACAGTGTCGCAGGGTCCCAGGCAGTGCTGGGTGTTTTATTTACATGAGGGTTGGGGGACAGGGTCCTGCAGGACTTGAGAGTCCCCAGTTTAGTAAAGGCTCCCTGAGCACAACACTCATTTACCCGGAGACCGGGAGATGGTCTTCTGAGTGACGTGATTGTGCAGAGCTTCGTGCATCACGGAGCAGGTGTAGCTGTTTCCTTCTTCCCAGCTGCTTTTTTCCACTGTGAGCTTGCTGTAGAGGAAGAAGGTGTTATCAGAGTCCAAGACAGCTGGGGTGGTCTTGTAGTCTAGTTGTCTATTTGTATTCCACTGCACATCTATGTCAGCAGGGTAGAAGCCAGTGATCATGCAGGTTAGACTGACTTTGTCCTTGGACAGCTCTTCTCGGGGTGGGGGCAGGACATACACCTCTGGGCTCTTGGCTGGCCCTGTGGAGAAAGAAGTCAGAACATGTTCAATACCAGGATGGAGGGCTGACTGGGGAGGCTCTGCCCATATTACCCTGCAGTGCTGCCCAATCTCCCACCTGTGGGCACTTCACTCTCACCTTTGGCTTTGGAGATGGTCTTTTCAATGGGGGCTGGAAGGGCTTTGCTGTTGACCTTGCATGTGAACTCTTTGCCCTTCAACCAGTCCTGGTGCTGGATGGGGAGGACACTGACCATACGCAATGTGCCATTGAGTTGCTCTTCCTTGGGCTTCATTTCAGCTGTTTTTATCTCCTTGCCATCCACGTACCAGGTGAACTCAATTTCGGGGTCTTCCTGGCTCACATCTATCACAACGCATGTGATTTTAGGGGTCAGGGAGATCATCAGTGTATCCTTGGGCTTCGGGGGGAAGATGAAGACAGATGGTCCTCCTAGGAGCTCAGGAGCTGGTGTGGGAGACAGAAGAGACAGATCAGTACTGAGGCTCACCCTATAACACTACCTCTTATGGATGTTTGTATGTCTCTTGGGCTTGAGAAGGAGGATTGGTGACTTACGTGGGCACGGGGGACAGGATGTGCCTTCATTTTTACTGTGGACCTCTGCAAAGAGAAGGCTGGTATTACTGGGGTTGCAGGAATAAGGCATTGCACCAAGGAGGGGAATGTTAGGTCTTTGGGGTGAACTCAGTCAGGCCCAGGCTGCCTTGGAATAGAGTTACTAGCTGGCCTGAGGCCCATGGACAAATTGTTCAGCCCACCCCTAACCTGGGTCTGACACAAAGTCCCAGAAGATATCTTCTGAACATGGAGGACAGAGGCCTCTATGCAGGAGCCAGACAGGAGCTTCCTGGTGCTTGTGGTAGACACACCCGGGAAGTTAGATCCCACACCCAGGAAGGCAGACCCCACACCTATTGTCAAGGGGTCCCATATTGCCTTGGGAACTGTCCTCACCCTTGTCCACCTTGGTGTTACTGGCTGCATGGACTACATGGCAGGTGGCCTTCTTCTTGCTGGAGGGCACAGTTACCATGCTGGTGAGTGAGTACAGGCCTGAGTGCAGGACAGCTGGGAAGGTGTGCACTCCACTTGTCAGGGATCCTGAATTCCAAGTCACTGTTACTGGCTCAGGGAAGTAGCTTTTCACCAAGCAGCCCAGGGTATTTATGGAGCCAGCTGTGTCCACACAGCTGGAAGCCAGAGGAAAGACAGAAGGGGCCTTTGTTTCAGCTGCAAGAAAGAAGGTACCAAGTGATTTGGTGTTGCACCCAGTTGACCCTGGATCGTGGAGGACCCCCTGTCCTCCACACTTTCCATGGTGTATGTGCTTTGCAAGGTTTAGTAAGGGTTCTGGGAGTGTGCCTGTAACCACTGGTTCCTACTTGTCTTGCTCTCTCTGCCCACTTTAGCCACCCCTCCCTGTAAGCTCTGGAACAAGCAAGTCCATTGTCTCCATATCACTCAAACTGTGGATCATGAACATTTTGTTCTTGGCTCTTCAGGGTCTCGGTGCTCTGCAAGATCCAGGTAGTGTCCTATGTCTATGCTTTTGGCTACTCTTGCCCACCACTTGGCCCCACGTGCCTGGTCCCATCTGTCCCCTTTAGCCACCATCCACATGGATGGACTCTAGGCAAGTCCAGGCCATTGGCTGTCTAATCCTAGCCCATCCCCAATGTGCTTCCAGCATGCTTCAGCCCCAGATCTCCAGCAGGGTCTCTGTGTCTCTCTGCAACCTCCCTGTGCTTGCTCCTGGGCCAGCTGTCTTTATCAGCCAGGTCAGCACTGTATGAACCACTAGAGCTGGTGAAGCCATGGGTCAGCCACCCCTTTCATAGCTGTTTGTCTTTTCCCCTGGGGTCTTGCTGTGAGGTTTTTGCTGGTATAAGGCCTCTTGTGGGTGTGTGCCCTGACTTATGCCCCTGTTCTTGGGTGCTGTACTTTCTGCACAGCCACAACAGTGTTACTTTGCATGGCCGTATCCTGGTGAGAGTCCCCTCTTTTTCATAGAATCCTTGGCCACCTTCTACATGAGCTCAGTTTCCACAGCCTGATACAGAGCCTTGGTCCTGGATTTGCCCTATGGGGTGATGTCCCCTGGGGTCCTCTCTGAGCCAAGACTACCCATCCCACTTTAGCCCTGAAGGAAATCCCAGGAAATATCTCCTTAGTCCCTCACTCCCCAATTCTTCCACCTAGGCTCCTAAAGCTAGGATCTGGGCACAGCTACCCTTTTGCCCTCCCTCCCCCCGTGTCTTTCTGAGGCCTAGTCAGGGCCACACCCCCACAGCTCTGTCTCTCACACTTACCCAGTTTCTGCCTAGCCCTGGCCTTGACTGGGCACCTCCTCCCTCCTGCACTCCCCAGGGTTTCCTCTAGGTCAGGCCCTGCTCAGCTCAGCTCAGGTGTACAGGGCCTCCTCTCATCCTGCATTCCTGCCTTTACTCCCATGCCCTGCATGCTGCTGGCACGGGTGGGGGGAGGGCACAGGCAGGCTCCTGGCCCTAGAGATCAAAGTATTCCCTGACCCCTGAGGACATTAAGGCACCTTCTCCCTTTGTTCCTCATCTGCTCCCCTCAGTCTATGGCCCTGCCACCCTCCCTTTCCATTACCCATAACCCACTGTCCAGCAGACTCTGTTCTGTGCCTCATCATCCTCTCTATGGGATCAACTACTTTGTTCCTCCTCCTTCTGCTGCTTCAACAGGATTCTCCTGGCCCAGTCTCCCCAAGCTCCCAGAATAGAGCCAAACTGACCCCAGAACTGCTATCCACCAGGTGTGTTTGGGGCATCAGGCCCAGTGAACTTTCCTTCTCAAGGTCTTATCTGTATTTTGATGAAGACTCTTGTTTGGTGTCTAGGACTGTTGCTCTCTGCAGCAAGCCCTTCCCTGCAGCCCCTGTGCTCCTATTCCCCAGAACCTCCTTGCTAGCCTCAAGCCTCAGTTTTCTACACATACAAGTGGATTGCGAGGTAGAAGGGTTCAGAACTGGTGCTGAGAGGGACAAGGCAGAGCAGTGAAGGGAGAGCTGGCCCAGGTGGGAGGAGGAAGACCAGATCTCCTGAGCCCCATATCCAGGGGGCTGCCTGGGTCATGCCACTTGCTACATACCTCAACCTGAGGAGTCCTGGTTCCCTCCTATGCATCTCTCCTGCCAGGGCCAGGACTCCTCAGGTTTTACCTCTGCACTGAGTCTCATGCTAGGCCTGCTAGCCCTGTTTCCTGTCGGCCTCCCATATGGTGACCACTGGGGCTGCACTGGCCCTTCCAGCACTTTCCTCCACACCTCACCTTTAGATGCTGTGCTCTGGTCCCCTCAGACCCTAGGATTTCCTCTAGCCCCTCTAGCAGCCACCTCCCTCTGTGCACTGGAAATGTCTCTGCCCTGATGTCTTGAGCTCCTAGGGCTGTCCTGGGCCATCCAACACAATAGTTCTTGCTCTCCTTCTGCTGTCCTGCAGCTACTCTTCCCTGTGGCTGTTTGTCTTTTGCCATCTGAGCTCCTATAGCTGTCCTGGTGGTTCTAGCACCCATCTACTGCTAACCATAAGCTTCTCTGTCCTGTTCCTGAGTTCCTGGCATTATCCTTGCCCCTCTAGCACTTTGCTACCCTACTCAAAGTCATTTGCTCACCCTCCTGCTCTGTCTCTTGGTACTGTCCTTGCCCCTTCCACACCCACCTAACCGTACTATCCTTCAGCTGTTGGTCCCTGGCCTGCTAAGCTCTTGTGACTTACATGATTTTTCCAGCACCCACCTGCCTCTGGTCAGCTATAACTGTTCCCTGTTTTTTTCCTCCAGAGTTCCTGTGGCTGTCGGCTCCCCTCCAGCACCTACTTTCCTGTCTACTCACATCTCACCTTCAGCTGCAGTTTCCTGGTCATAGAGCTCCTGTGGCTGCCCCAGCTCAACTGTGGCTGTTCTGCTCTAAATCCTGTCCCCCTGAACTCCTGAGGCTGCCCTGGCATGTCCAGTACCACCACATTCATGCTCACTTCCAGCTTCTCTGCTCTCCTCCCCTGAGCTCTTGGAACTGCCTTGACTCCAGCAACCTGCCCCATGTACCTTCAGATGTTCTTTCAGGATCCCTGAGCTCCTGCAGCCTCTCTGGCCCCTCTAGCACCCACTAGTCCCTGCTCTCCTCTAGCTGCTCTGCCTAGGTTCCTTGAACTCCTGGGTCTTAGCTGACTCCTCCTCCAGCCCCTATCTACCTCACATTACCTGCAACTACTCCTCCTGGATCCCTGAGCTGTTGGAGCTTCCAGCACTAAGCTGCTCCAGCTCACCTGTAGGTGCTCTGCTCTGGTCCTCTTAGCTCCTGGGGTCTCTTCTGACCTCTCCAGCAACTGACTGCCTCTGTGCATTGCCAGTTTCTCTCCTGGTCTGCTGAGCTGCTAGGCTTTCCATGGCACATCCAGTTCTCACCTGTCTCTGCTCATTTGATGCTGCGTTGTTTTGCCAGAGATTTTCAGTCCGCTCTATCATCAACCTCTCTGTGGTCAACTGCGTCTGTTTTGCCCTGGTCACCTAAGCCCCTAGGGGTGCCATGACCTCTGCAACACGAACCTGGTCCATCTCACCTTCAGTTGCTCTGCCTTGAGCTCTGAGCTCTTGGGACTGTCCAGGACCCTCCATCACCCCACCTGACCCTGTTTAGTGGCAGCTGCTGTGCCCTGGACCCCTAAGCTCATGTGGCTTCCCTGGCTCCTCTAGCACCACCTACTCTTGCTCACCTGTAGCTGCTCTGCCCCAATCCCTGCCTCCCTAAGTTCCTGGGGCTATCCTCTCCCCTTCAGGGAATTGCTCTCCCATTCACAGGCATTTACTCTGCCCTGTGCCCCTGAGCACCTGGGGCTGCCTTGGGCCCTCTAGTACCCATCTGCCCCTGATCCATTGCAGCTGCTTTTTCTTGGTCTCTTCATCTGCTCTGCCCTGGTCCTCTTAGCTTCTGAGGGCTCCACTGTCTCCTCCAGCATCTGCCCCTGTGCTTTGGCAGTTGCTCTGCCCTGGTCTCCTGAGCTCCGAGGGCTGCCCTAGCATGTCCAGGACCACCAAGTTCATGCTCTCCTTCAGCTTCTCTGCTCTGCTCCGCTGAGCTCCTGGGGCTCCTCTGGTATGCCCAGCACTATCGTGTTTGTGGCCACTTCCAGCTGCTCTGCTCCCCTCCCCTGAGCTCCTGGGGCTGCCGTGGCTCCTCCAACCTGCACCATGCACCTCCAGCTGTTCCTTCAGAGTCCCTGAGCTCCTAGAGCTGTCCTGGTCCCTCCAGCACCCACATGCCCCTGCTCTCCTCCAGCTGCTCTGCTCCACTCCCCTGAGCTCCTGGTGCTGCGGTGGCTCCAACCTTCGCTATCCACCTTCAGCTGTTCCTTCAGCATCCCTGAACTTCTGGTCTGACCTGGCCCCTCCAGCACCCACCTGCCACTGCTCTCCTCCAGCTGCTCTGCTCCACTCCCCTGAGCTCCTAGGGCTGCCCTTGCCTGTCTAGCACTACTGTGTTTATGGTCACCGCCAGCTGCTCTGCTCCGCTCCCCTGCCCTCCTGGGGCTGCCCTGGCACGTCCAGCACCACCGTGTTTGTGGTCCCCGCCAGCTGCTCTGCTCCCTTACCCTGAGCTCCTGGTGCTGCTGTGGCTCCAACCTTCACTATCCACCTTCAGCTGTTCCTTCAGTATCCCTGAGCTTCTGGACTGACCTGGCCCCTCCAGCACCCACCTGCCGCTGCTCTTCTCCAGCTGCTCTGCTCCCCTCCCCTGAGTTCCTGGTGCTGCGGTGGCTC